AAGAAGATAGAATCTGGGGTTTCCCTTTTGCCCTGGTGTTTCCTGGGAGCTCTTGAGACAGGAAATGGCACCACCCTGTGCTCTGACCTAATGGCTTGGGGAACACAAGCACAAAGGAAACCACCTTTCCCTCTCATCACTTCCTCTGCCCATCTTAGTTCTCAAGTACATATCCCAGTCATCGCTTCTCAGGTTTATCCCTACCCCAGCTCCATCCCTTGCTATCCCAATCCTCAGCTAAGAGCCATGAATCCTCATTCCAGACTCCTCTACTTCTCTTTTACCTAACCTGATGCCCCAGAACCCCCAGGTGCCAGCTCAAGCTCCACCAGAAAGAGCAGTCGATGGTGCTCTCATCACACAGCAGCTGTGGGAGCAAGGCGGGTTAGGGCAGGATGCTGGGGTGGGGTGGGTGGAGTCGGAGCCACTTCCTTTCCCCTTGGGGGCCCTGTCAGTACCAGTCCTGCCTCAACCTCAGGAGAAGTTGGAACAGCCTAGTCCCAGTCCTGTGTTTTTGGTGCCAAGCCTGTGGTCTTGTCAACTGAGTTGGTAAGGGGGTACTACCTTGTGGGGTAAGGGTCTCAGTGGACCTGGAGCCATGCCTTTGGCTTGACAGGATATGATGAGTAATGAGAAAAGAGGGTCAGAAGCCATTGGGGCTGAATAAGGGTCAGAGAAGGTCAGGAGAGGGGTGGCCATTGTGGGGTCCAAGCTGCTAAGACCTGAGTGGGCCTACAGGATGGGGTTGCCAGGGAGCTGTCAGCATCTGCTCCCTTGTTATTTCTAATATAGTAAAACTCAAGGGTAGAGAAGCCGTTAAACCGCAAGTTGAGCAGACAGTTGGTAGGGAAGTAGGCATAGGGGAGAGTCTGGCCAGTCTCCTCTCCCCACCTCACTCCAACACCTTTTGTATTCTGTTTCTCAAACTTCCACCCCATCAGGTCTCAAACTCTGCTCTGGCCGATTGCCATGGAAATGGCCCTACTTCTCCTCTTTTTTGGAGGCTCCTGGACTCAGGAGGGGGACCCAGGATCTCACAGAGCCACGACAACTTTTATTTCATTGGACAACATTTCACATGTCCCCGAGGCCATAAACTACAACTTCAACGACCTCCCATCCTATGACGATTAATAGCACCGGGGACCAGATTTCAACCTCACCTTCCTCAACTTTCCTTATAGCCCATGAGAAAATGACCTTCCTTGAGACTTCTGTTGGTACCAACACTGGCCCCCCTGCAACAGAGCCAACAATCTTCCAGGAAGCTTCCATCAATGATTTGTCAATACTTTCGGAAACCTCTAATGCAGCCAGTGACCCTGCTGTCCCGTAACAGTGAACTCTCTGAGGTCCCACACTGGGTCCCCTGAAACCATAATCAGCTCTCTGGAGACCTCCTATGTAACCGACGGACCCCTTATCACCATGGAAACGAGCTCTCTGAAGGCTTGGGATGTGACCAGCGGACCCCTTACCACCATGGCCATGGAAACTAGCTCTCTGAAGGCCTGGGTTGTGACCAGCAGACCCCTTATCACCATGGACACTAGCTCTCTGAAGACCTCCGATGTGACCAGTGGACCCCCTGTCAAAAAGACAACTCAATCTGAAGAGAACTTCAGCATAACAATATCGACCACAACGATCTCAGAGACCTCCACAAACACAACCACCAAATTCTCCTCACCGTCAGAGGAGAGGGAAAGTGACAACACCCTACTGGTAGCTGTGCTTGTGGCCCTGCTGGTGGTGGTTGTCCTCCTGGCACTGCTATCTCTGTGGCGGCGGCGGCAGAAGAAGCGGACTGGGGCTCTGACGCTAAGTGGAGGAGGCGGGAAGCGTGATAGGGTAGTAGATGCCTGGGCAGGGCCGGCCCGGGTGCCTGATGAGGAGCAGGTGATACTGGGAGGTTCTGGGGTCGACAAGGACACTGCTGTTCCTGATGGGGAGGGGGCTGGCCGGCGGCCCTCGCTCACTACTTTCTTTGGCAAAAGGAAATCTCATCAGGACTCCTTGACATTGGAGACGTTGGAGGCTGGGTCAGTTCCCAGCCAAAAGGGGGAGGAAGAGCCGCTGATGAGTAGTGAGGGTGGGACTGTGGAGGTCCCCACTTCTGATGGTCCAGAAGTGAGCGATGGCAATGCCTCTAGGTCCTTATAAATAGCAAGAGTGGAGGGTAGACTCCTTTCCAGCTTTCATTTCCTTTCCTCTTGTCTCACTTGCAACTTGATCCTCACCCAGCATTCTCCTCCAGCATCCTCATCTAGTATTTGCCTTCTACATTCACAGAAGACAAACTATACTCACTGAATACATAATCTTCCTATCAGCCCCTACTTCTTCTCCCATCACTTTCTCTCCATCTCTTTTGTCTACATAATGCCAAACGTCTGTGATCTAATGTTTCTTGCAGATTTCTCCAGGGATAACAACCCAGCAAAATGCCACCAGGGATTCGCTTTGTAAAGTAAGCTTTGCCTCAGACTAGATGGTTGGCTCTAGTGCCACTGAGTAAGTCCATGACTCTCTTCTTGCTCTGGGCCCTCATCCTCTGTGCTAGCTGGGACTGAAACATTGGCTGGGTGGGGCCATTCATCCGTGCTTGTGCCTCTTCCCCACACGTGAATTGTGGCAAATCCAGAGGCTTCGGATAGTTCTCCTTTCAAAGCAGAGTTGAGAAGAGTTTCTGGGCAACTCTAGTTCTCAGGACCACCGTACCTGCATGGAGCTAGTCACTGATGCAGTCTGTGTGCTAGAGGTGAGGACTTGGTAACGTTTAGGAAGGGGTGGTATTGAATACAGGCAGTGTGAGGGAGAGTTGCAGGAATGTAGACAGGAAGGAGGGGGGCACAGACAGAGACTCCTGAGAACATTTATGACCTTATCTTTGCTCAGATGGGGTGAAGTTAGCAGAAGACTGAACTGTCACTATAGTCCAACAAAGAACACTGAGCACAAGTTTGGGCTCTTCATCTCAGTCACTGTATACCTTCCTCAAAGCCCCCTTCACTCCAACACACACACATGCAGGCATGGGGAGAAGAGTCTGCCCCAATAGTGGGGCCTTGGTGCTGAATAATTCTGTTGACATTTCAAACCCCTAGTCTTGCTACCATCCCCAATCTGTTACAGGGTTAGGATTTGTATCTTCTCGTTCTAGTCCTGAGCTTCTTCCCTTCTCCAAGATGAGAGGGAACTAAATGAGGAGCCGAGACAGTCCTCAGAGCCAGAGACTTCCCCCATGGGTGTGGGATGGAGAGAAGGGGACAATATCATCGAATTATACTGTCTCTGAGACCAGGCCAGGCTACAGCTCTGCAGAGCACATGGGACAGAGACAGTTGATCTTTCCACAGGGCAAAGAGGAAATTTGCAAAGAGGAAGTTGAGTCAGAAGGCGCAGTGGCTGAGAGTAGATTGACCCATAAAAAGAGGCAGATGGGAATCTGTGAGTGTGTACGGGCTGCGTGGCCTGGTTTAGTCAGAGAGGTGGGAGATAAGAAAGGGCCCTAGTGGATCAGTCAGTTCATGAGGTGGAGTGGAGAGGGTAGAGAAAGGGAGGGGGAATGGCAGTTGCGCCGCCTGTATCTAGTTGGTGGGAAAGGTCTGAGCTGAGACAGAAATCCAACCTTCCCTCAGCCAAGCATGGCTCCCACATGGCTGCAAGGTCCAGGCAACTTATTCCTACTTTCATTGTTTGGACTAATTGTAGCCCCTTTAAGGCAGACTGTGAATTCTCTTAGAGATAACATAACTGCTGTCAGATTTGTCAAACCACGTACGCCCAAGTTAAGGTTTAGAAAATATTGTCACGGAAGTCAGAGAACATCAGTGTGTTGTTCCCCTCTCCCCCCCACCCCCACACCATCTGCAACCATATACTGGTTTCTGGGTCCTGGAAGGGAATAGGTCGTGTCCATTGGGACTTTCACAGCCCTGAGAAATATTAAAATATGAAGAAGCTTTAAGAACTTTGTGGAAAAACGGAATGGAAAGCTAACAGAATGTTTCCATGAACTTTAAAAAGTCCCCTCATATGTGATTAGTGTTAAAATATAAGGGCAAGCAAAAATGTTCTGAGGGCTCCAAAAGAAGGACGTGACACATAGCTCCTGGACAAGGTCACCTGAGGCCTCTCCAGAGAGTTTACGTCTCACAGGATCTTTGTCGTATTCATTGTTATATTCCTGGTGGCTTCTGGGGCTGGCTCATTGTAGGTCCTCATCTGAATGAATAATGAACTAGGGGACTCCTGAGATTTTGAAGGATGAGAAAGATTTTTGTCTGGCTGAAAAGTGGGGAAGGGCATTCTGGGCAGAGGGGACAATAGGTACAAAGGCCTGATGAGGGAACCATGAGCAGTTCAGCATAGTTTCACCAGAGTTTCTTTCCTAGACAAACGAAATGGAGACCTTTCAATTCTCTAGAGGGGGAAGAAGGAAGCAAAGAAAACAGTAAATATTTTAAGACCAAAAAGAGAAAATGAAGAGAGAGAAACTATATGAAAATATAAAATATGGTAATAGGAGAGGACCAGACATATCAATGATGAAAATAGTTAGAAATGGTTTATTATGTGTATCATAGTTATTAAAAGGTATATTTTCAAAAACTATGTAGTGACTTTGGGAAATTCCTACAATATAATGTTAAATGGGCCAGGGGGAAGCAAGTTACTAATCTGTATTTACATATATTTTAGTTCGGTAATTAATATACATTTTACAATATGTACATTATTAGGGGGGGAATGACATAAAGGAAATACTTCAAATGGTTACTGCGGTTATCTATAAGGTGGAGGGTTTGTGGGTGATTTTCACTGGTCTCCCCTGTCCCCCTTCTGTCTGTGATCCAATCCATGCTGCAGACACAGTGACCTATGAATAAATTCTCTTAAATTCAATTTTTACAAGAGTGGGTTCTTCTCTACAATACCAGACACTCAAATAAACTTTAAAAAAAATCTTTCACAGAAAGTAATTACCACAAGATTCCAGTTTCTTAAAGAATAGAATTTTTACATCTACACAGCATATGTCATCTTATATTTTATAATATATGGTTTTTTACTTTTTTATTTTCAAAGAGACACCTTGTAAAGAGCATGGTTATAATTGCAGCTTTGTCATCTAGGGTCAAAATTCCACATGGAGGAAGAATTGGATGTAGAAGTTCTTGGGAAACCTACTAATTCAGTTAACTTTTGCAGGCAGAGAAAAGACCTTAATGCGTGTTTCTAAAGACATTTCATTTATGAAAATGTACATTAAGACTGGTTTCCTTTTTTCATCCCTGTTTCGGACCCTTGATCAAGTTCAATTTGGGAAGTAGAGATTGTGAGTGATGAGCTAGCTGGGGGCTGCTGTCAGTTCTGAGACCTCCAGGAATGAGGAAATGAGAAACAGATTCTATCCCTGTTAGCTCTGAGACCAGGCCAAGAGGCAGATCAAGTTAGGATTGTTAAGGAGGCACAAGAAGAATATAATCAAATGATTCTAAAGGTCCCCAATTAGTTATAATTGCATATCTCAAGCGTAGCAGCAATTGTGAGGATGGCCCAGGACCAGACAGTGTTTCGTTCTGTTGTACATAGAGTTGCAATGGGTTGGAACCGACTCAATGGCACCTAACAACAATAACAACTGAATATCTCAAACAAAAATAGGAAATTTAAGTAAGGAGTTATTGATTTACAAGCTTACACAATGGTGACAGCCTCAGGCATTTTGGAGACAGTAAACTGCAAATGGGTAACTGTATGCTCAGACCCTTTGGTTGTTCAGTGCCTACCTGTCCAACCTAGGGCATCAGGGCAGCCTGGCTGCACCATGGCTTAGATTTCAGTTCCAGCTGAATAGACTCAGTATTGACCATTGGACTACGTGGAGAGGGCCACATACTCTCTTCTGCATCTTCATATTACACAAACATCTTGACTTCCCACCAAACTCTTCCTTAACCATTAAGATTCAGCTCTAATGTCTGTGAAGCCAAACTTGCTGCCTTCACCCACCTCAACAGAGGCAGTGTTTTGCTTTGTTGATTTCTACAGTGCTTCCTGTGATCACATGGGCCATTGGGCTGTGATTGTACGAAGATTACCTTTTATCAGTAGAGTGTGAGCCCCTCCAAGTTCACATATCATCTTTGTGGCTCCAGCACCCAGGGCCTAGCACAAGACCTGGCACACAGTAGCTAACTAATATGTATTTACTAAATGGGAGAAAAAAATGAATTAATGAATAAACAAACAAGTTTTTTTAAACAACTGTATGGTGAAACATCAATTCTGCCTTTTGAGTTAACCCTGGAGTCCAGGAGGAGGCCCTGAATCATGTAAGGGCCAAGATGACAGTATTATTCCAGTCCAAGTTAGATATAGTGGGAATCTGGCCTTGTGAATTACTAAATATGGTCCTTCTCATCTTGAGCTCTGATAGTGTTGTGGTTACAAATCGGGCTGCGAACCACAAGGTCAGCAGTTCGAAACTACTAGCTGTTCCGCAGGAGAAAGATGAGATATTCTGCTCCCGTAAAGATTTACAGCCTCGGAAACCCTGTACAGGGCCTCTATGAATTGGAACCAACTCAACGGCACACAGCCACCACCACCATCTTGGGTGGTACTACACAAATAAGGTACTTGCGGCTCACCAAGGGGATTAGACAGCTTGCTAATAATGCAAGTAAGATGCATGGCACCCTTGTGAGGGTGGGAGTGTGGACTCTAACTAGGGGATTGGTCAGTTTTGCCATCTAGCTAGACTTCACAGAGAACCAATCCCAGAGAAGACAGGGAACCTCATTTCCTCATTCCTGGAGGTCTCGGAACTGACAGCAGCCCCCAGTTAGCTCATCACTCATATAACTCTACTTCCCAAATTGAACTTCTCAAGAAAGAAGAGTTGAGAGTGGAACACTTCATTTGGACCTGGGGTCCCTATGCTAGGAGCCTCAGGAAACCTCAGGAGAGCTTAACACCAGAGACAGCAAGAAGCAGCAGTGGAGAAAGAGCAGCAGCAGAGACAGCAGAACAGGAGACCTCATAAAGACTGAGCAGTGGTCTTCCCAGCCCAGGGAGGGAGAATTGGCACCGTAGGTCAGGAGGCTTCCTGGTAGAGTGGGGTGCCTCCAGGCACTTATTGGTAGAGCTAAAGA